CGTTATAGATGGGGAAAGGGCTGTGGTGGGAATCTAACCTAGGTTTGGGCCAGAGAGGCTACTTGGTGAAGTTACTGTTGAGATGTGAAGGAAAGAATTGCAGAAGACCTCAGGCCGGGAGGGCAGCGCCTGGCAGGCAGCAGGGAACATGTGGGGAGGCAGCTAGGGGGCTCGGAGCCCACTGGAAGCCCAGTGTGTTCCAACGCAGAGAGTATTCAGACAGTGGAATGAAGTGAGGTCATGGAAAAGAGAACTTCAGTGCATGGAGTCACTGGATTATTGAAGGTGGGGATCAATCTAATGTCATTAGCATTTTTAAAAATTTTTATTTATTTGTGTGTGTGTGTGGCCAGCTCAGCCCACCAGGGGGCGGGGCTGGCTGGCATGTGGTGCTGGGGGATTGAACCACGCTCCCTGTGCTTTGCTAAGCTTGTTCTAAGTAGGTGCTTTAGACCACTGAGCCATCTAACCAGCCCCCGTCATTAGCATTTTGAAAGCAGTGTGGTACACTACAGTATCGCGGTCTGAAGGACTAGATTTGAAAAGATCAGTGAGGAATCTGATTGAGGTGATCCAGGAAAGTCACACTAGTTGCTTAAACCAAAGAGCATGGTGTTGGAGAAGTTCAGAAATGGATGCGAGACTGTTGAGAAGAGGAGGTGCTCATCTGGCCCCCAAGCGTGCTTTTCGTTTGGACACTCTGCCAAAGTATCTTTGAGACATTAAGAGAAAACTCCAGGTATGTGGTTTTTATGTTCACCTGGAGCAGGAGGAGAAATCTGGTACACAGGTATATTTTGTGGCTCACCTGTGTGTATGTGTGTATTGGTTTACTTGTAGCCCTCCCACACTCTGTCTCCATTAAATTCTCCATTTAAGATCTTCTTGGAGGTATACTTCTATGCCCACTCCCTTTTATGTCTGGTGTCCTTGGGACCTAAGACCCACGAGGGCAGGGGTTTTTGTCTTTCTTTATTCAAAGTACCTGGAACTATAGTAGGCATTCAGTGGGCAGTTGTTCCTTGAATGAATGACAATTTTGAATCTAAGATGTATTCTAGATTTGGTTAGACTTTTGTTTTATTATTTATTAAAATGTTAGCTGCTTCAATGGTTTCAGTATCATCTGACATACACTTTTAATATTTTGGCTTTCTTGAAGAAAATAATTCAGAGGGTTGAATGGGTGGGAGGGTGTGGTGAGTGTTTCTTATCAGCATGGCTAAGTTTGTGAAATTTTGGCATGTTTGAGGAGTAGGAGACCCAGCCCACAAGTAGCAGCAGGTCCTAATCAGGTCACAGAGGATTGAGCTTTGTAAGAGCTGGCTGTTTTTGTTTTTTTTTTTAATAAATGTCTTTGGTACAGGGTCTTATACTATGCAGTTCATCAGACTTGTAGTGATCCTCCTGTTTTCAGCCACCCCAATGCTGGGATTACAGGAATGTTCCATCACGTCCAGTCTTGTTGGTTGGCACAGAGTGCCCAGGTGTGGAGCTGGAGTGCAACGTGTGGTGCCCGGGATTGAACCCCAGTCTCTGCAGTTGCCTAAGCAGGCACTTAGTCTGCTGAGCTATCCCACTGGCCCAGAGCTGCCTTCTTTTGGGGGGCCGGTGGAGTGGAACCGGGGATTGAACTCAGGCCTTTGCGCTTGCCAGGGAAGCGCTTATTCCACTGAGCCATCTCCCCGGCCCCATAGAGCTGCCTTCTTGATCATTGGTTGTGTGGCCTTGTGCGTTGGATCTTTGTACAGTGAAGTAGGGGTGACGAACTCCTTCTAGGTCACTATGAGAAACCTCAGCTTGCTGTAGCAGTTGTCATATTGTCTTATTTTGTAGGTCATTTCTAGCAAGTTAAAATAACAGCTGTGTTTCTCATTACAATATTGTGCCCTTACTCTGAGTTATTTTCAATGTTACCTTGTTGGTATATGCTGGTTATCAAAGCTCAAAAAAATTGTGATTGATGTGTTAGATGAGAGGAAGATATTTCCCCACTGAGCTATTATAACTTAGAACCAAATGAAATTGATAACTGGATTCACTTTAGCTTTGTAATATTGATATTGTTAACTAAAAGTTGGCTATATATTGCTGTATGTTGTGTACAACATATTTCATATTATATAGTTATATACTTATACATCATAAACACATATATAAATGGAGCCAATTTTGAGATTACTGAGGACATTGACTTTATATTTATGTCTCCATTCACTGGCGTGCACGCACATACACTCTACACTGAATTTCATTTTGTGAATGTTTTTTCTATTTCTTGAATTCTTTTTCTGTGTTTTGTTCCTTTTGACAAAACAGCTGTTTTATTTGTCAGTAGAAACTGGATCATTTTAAAGTAAGTAAGGTTTAGGGGGGGACAAAAAGAAAAAAAATTAGTAAGGTTAAATAAATATATAGTTGGGATATTTTTTTCTCTTGAGTGTTGAAATAATATTAAAAAAAAATTTCTGAAGCAGTTTTTTTGTTAACTCCAGGGAGTGAACAACTTAAATTCACGGGTGCTCTTTCAGTCCCAAACTGTGGTTGAGTGAAGGTTTTCAGCCCAAGATCCTCCGTTTTTGGCCTGATGTTTTCGGTGTCCAAGAAGAATGTGTTAGTACATCATCTTGTTCCTTGTATGATTGGCTTGTGTGTGTTGTGAATTTAAGCCAGGTAGAGAAAGCACTAATATATGCTTGTATTTCACTTGCTAATTCCTGTGGCCTGCAGGTATTTGGGAGTTTTTTTTACTATCTGTGTAGCAGATGATCCACCTATGCAAAAGTTTTATAAGAACTAGAATAGAATTCTAGAGCTAGAATTTTCCTATTCTTGAAATATACTGAGAAAATTAAAATCCAATCTGAAAGTGTATTTTCTAGGTGGAAAGAAGTGCTTGCTAGGTGTCTGCCGTTTGCTTTCAGCCCTCTGGCCTTACTTATCGGTGATGACTATTATTACTCCTTCCTTAGCATCCCCCAAAGACTGTTGCTGACATTTTTTATTTTTCCTGAAATCCCAAGGATAATTGGCTCGCTTAATGCAGGCGGTGGCGCTCATGCGCATTGTGTGGTGTTATTCCCCCCCCCCCCCCCCTTCAGAGAGAATCTGATAATTTCATGGCTTGGGCATGACCAAAGAAAATTTTCTCTGCATCTGAGTAATATAATTGCATCTGATTTATCTGTTGTTGTGAAGTAAACAGGAGCAATCTTTTGTTTGTTTGCATATGCTGTTTCCTATCCGGCCCTCATAGCGTGAGAAGCAGATGGCTCTCACATTGATCACTGGCTTCCTTTTGTTGCATGTGAGCATCCAGAGCGAGAATTATGAGTTTTTTTTTCATTGTATTTTTAGTTCTGAACACCTGGTACCCAGATAGTGTTTAGTAAAGATTTCTGAACGAATGAGGTATTGGGGAAGATGATAAAAGATCAGACAAGATACATTATTGCTATTAGGAATTGCAAAATGATTTATAAACATACGTATTTTCTCCCCCAGCTGTAAACTTTTTATGAGGAATTGTGTTGGGTGAAGCATTAGGTACTCAGTCTTTTCATTATACACTTTTTTTAAATTTTAGTAAGGTTCTACAGGGCCTACAGGGTCTCATGTAGATGGGACTCGTAGTGATCTGCCTGTGTTCAGCGTCACAAGAGCTGGGATTACAGGTGTGTGCCGCCGCCACCATGCCCAGTCTCTCAGTAGCCTTCTCAGCACGCCCTGGGGGTGGTCCAGCACTGGGACCACTGCCAGAGGTGAAGCAGGGCCTCAGCATCTGCCTAAACAGGTGCTTTAATCTGTTGAGCTATTTGGCCCACCTCATTATATACTCTCAACTTTAGATTTTTCTTGTTGGATTTAGTTCTTAAGGAGCCTATTAGACTAATTGTAGCTGGTGGAAATTTGAAAGAATATAAACACCACCCAATATTCCTTAAGGCACAGCGGTTTGCTTTTAGTTTTTTAAGGCAGAAATAATAACTGTTATAGAGAACCCATTTTTCCTGGAATTGAACTAGGATGGGAAACTGAGAAGATGTGTATGATGTAAGTAAGGGTAACTGAAAGATTCTTGCTTTGAAGCTGTCACTTTCATTGGTATCAAGCGTATTTGTTTTTAAAAAGAACTCTGGAAGTTTGGAGAAGTATGTAGAATCTTCAAAAGACCCACTGTGTGACATCCTGGGATGTTTTCCACTTCAGTATTTTTTCAGGTGGAAATAATTTTTTCTATGAGTTCTTACCTCCTTTAAATTTATATTGTGGGTGATAAAGTTCCTCTTTATAATTATTCCCATTATATATTGTCTACTAGGGTACACTTGACTTTTTCCCCCATACAAAAGAAAAAAAATTGGTATATAGTACTACAGTTTACTTTTATGCTTACATGTGTTGTTTTTTACTTTTTTTTAGACAGTGTCTTGGTTTGTATTTAACACCGGCCTTGAAGTCACTATGTAGCACAGTCTGGGCTTAAATTTGGAGCAATCCCCCTGCCTTATAATCCCAAAGATTGGGATTATGCATGTTTGCCAGCATGCCCAGCCGGTTGGTTTTGAATTTTGATCTTAAAAAAAGACCCCAAGCCAGGCATAGTAGTGCATGCCTGTAATCCCTGCACTTGGAAGGCCAAGGCAGAAGGATCACTGTGAGTTTCAGACCAGCCTGGGCCACAATGTGAGCTCAAGGCCAGCCTGAACTACGAAGTGAGTGAGAGAGAGAGAGAGAGAGAGAGAGAGAGAGAGAGAGAGAGAGAGAGAGAAAGAAACCCTCTTTCAAAAAAGACAGAAACAACACTCCAACCATTTTCTGAGGCCAAAGCTATATACTGAAATTGTGTAGCATTCGTTTTAACTTTTTTAACTATGGTCTGAGACATTTTTAGACAAATCTAAAGCATGACTAAGTGCTTTAACTAAACATCATTTTATGAAGAAAATAAAAGGAAATGCTAAAGTAAAACAATTTCTTTCTCTCTCATTTCCTTATAGCATTTTTGAAACGTTGGGGTTATTGGAGTGGTTGGATTTTCCCTGGAATTGCGTGAGAAATTCAGAAGACTGAAGCCCAGGCTTACAGTCTACCTTTCACGGAGGCCTAGCCGTGAGAGGACAGAAGAAGGCACGTGGCGAATCATGACAGCTGACAAAGACAAAGACAAAGACAAAGAGAAGGACCGGGACCGAGATCGGGACCGAGAAAGAGATAAAAGAGACAAAGCAAGAGAGAATGAGAATTCAAGGCCCCGCAGGAGCTGTACCCTGGAAGGAGGGGCCAAAAATTATGCGGAGAGTGATCACAGTGAAGATGAGGACAATGACAATAGTGCCACCACAGAGGAGTCCACCAAGAAGAACAAGAAGAAACCACCAAAAAAAAAATCTCGTTATGAACGGACGGATACGGGTGAGATAACGTCCTACATCACTGAGGATGATGTTGTCTACAGGCCAGGAGGTAAGGAGAGGCACACATGTGTCTTCATAGAGCTTGTGGGAGAATAATCTTAGCATTTTGATGAAAGAGATGTGTTTTTGACATGTTAAGGCAGGCCTGGGGCCCAGAAAGGACGGTGTCTTTGGATAGGAAGACTTAACAAGCTTGTGGCGTACCATGGGCCTGTGAGGTTTAACTACTTCTTGCTGTGTTGTTTTTGACTTGGTCTTTTCCCTGGTTTGTGTGTTGAAACGTCTTTCCTCGTTTTTTCGTGCCACTTGTTCTTTCCCTTAGTTACCTGCCTGGTATTTGTCATTGCCCTTGCTTTTCACCTTCTTGACCCTAAATTAGGCTCTGATGACTCTATAGAGTTGAATATGTACATGGTTGGGCCAAGTAAAGCTCAAGATTCTTAGAAACACGACATTTTGTGTTAGAATAGTATTGGCCAGAAGCTAGATAGATACTTTTAATGGCCTGCAGATCAAGGTTTATCTCTTCCATTAGCCATCTTTTCCGAAGTATTGAACTTTAGCTGTGCTAATGAGTGATAATAGAAGAAAGCAATAACCTGTGAGGTTCTCCAGAGAATGTACTTTGGCAGTTTGTTGTAGTTAAGCTTACAGCTGTACTCAGAGACAGACGTCACTTTTTGATGAAATAGTTGGACACGGGTGATTGAGAACCTCACAATCCCAGCTTAATCTTTTCTCATTGGAATATGCTGTGTCTTAAGATGGCTTTTCTTACAGAGCCAAGAAAACTAGTGAAGGTCATTTTGTTTGAATGACTTCCTTTGTAGAGGTCTGATGATAATTTCATAGGAGATATAATTAACAGATTAAAGATACTACTTTGATGTTTTTCCAAGAAATGGATTAAAAGATTTCACTGTGTTATGTCACTAACCAGGCACAATGATTTTATTGAGGAGTATGCTTAACTGTTCTGAACTTCTTACAAAGTTGTAGTTTTTTCTCCCCCTTTCTCTGTGTATTTTGATCTCTCCAAGATGATCAGTGTTAAAACTTATGCAGACCAGCCTGAATTCTCAATGAAAGGTGTGTGCAGCACCTAATGCCAGCTTCTGTAATGTGGGATGTCCTTCCTGTGCTGGTGGGGACCCTGCACCAGTATCTTGGTATACTTGTGGGAAATGCTGCCTGAACTATGTCGAGAGATGATAGTTAACAGTGAGAAACTCTGCGGTTAAGACATCTCTTTAACATTGAAACACTTATTTCTTTTGTTTGTGGGACTGTGGCCTCTTTTTTCTGCTGAATGTCTTCCTTACAAAAACTAGTTTTGTAAGTTGGATGTAGTGGCGCCCACCTGTAATGCCAGCACTTGGGAGTCTGAGGCAGGACTGTGAGGTTGAGTCCAGCCTGGGCTACACAGTGAGTTCCAGCCTGAACTGTATAGTGAGACACTATCTCAAAAAGGCTAGAAAAAAACAAAACAAAACTGGTTTTGAGTAAATTTTGTTGGGGGCCAAGGATATAGCTGAGAGGTCCAGTGCCTGCCTGCTAAGTGCAAGGTCCTGAGGAGGTGGGGGAGGGAGGAAGGGAGAGAGAGAGGGAGAAGGAGAAGGGGGGGGGAGACAGTTTGTATTCAGGAAATGTTACATTTTCATCCTGCATCTTTTACAGCTGACAAAAACTTCTTGTTCAAAAAATACTTTTTTGATCTTCTGAAGAATATGCAGAGGAAGATTGCTAGGGCTAGTTTATAAAATGGCTGTTGTTACAGTGTTTGGGGGAGTACTGTATACAGTCTTCCCTTGGTACCCACAGAGATTGGTTCAGGACCCTCCTGAGGTAGCAGATCTGCCACTGTTCCAGCCCCTACATAAAATGAGTTGGTATTGCCCAAACAAGCACATGTGCTCCCATGTACAATGCTTTCAGATAACTTACAATAGCTAACATAATGTATGTGCTGTGCTCATAGTTGGCATATTGCATTGTTTAGGAAATAATGGCAAGAAGAAAGGTAGTACATGTTCAGTATGGATGTAGGTTTCCCCCTTCAAATAGTCCACTCTGTGGTTGGTTGAGTCTATGAGTGTGGAATCAGCTGACCCGAGAGGCTGACTGTACTTGGGTATGCATGTTTTGTTTTAGTAAATGTGAAGGAAGACTTTTGAGATGTGAAAAAGATAGGATCTGTCTAGAAGTTCAGTATGTTAGGATGGCTCAAAATGGTTTAAAGGTTACTGTGGCATCAGGGTGTAACCACTTGGTTGGAAGTATCCTTTGTGCTAGGGACAGTGCTGTGGGCTGTGGACTGTATCATGCCCATTCCAGTGGATGCCTGCCTCTTCTTTGATAAAGAGATTGGTTTTTGGCTTATTCATTGGTTTCTTTTGGTGGGTGTTTGAAGATAAGTAACTTGGTTGCCTTGTCCAAATAACTTCTTTCTAAATGTAGGGTGTTTAATGTGAAGAATTAAAAGGAGAATACTTCTGTATTGTGGAGAGAGTGGGAAAGGGGACGACATTCTGATCCTGGGCTGGGAACAAGGTCATGTCTGCAGTGCCCCACCTCCTTCAACCGACCATTTTCTACAGCATGGTCAGCTCTGAGCTCATCCATCGATTCATCCACAGATGAGTTTAGTAGCCTCAAGAACCAGTCACTTTCCAATGGCTCCCACCTCTGACACATGAACTTGGGGAGATACTTTAGACCTAAAATTAAAAGATTCTTAGATGGGAGTTGATTTTGTTTTTTCCCCCTTCATTTTCCTTCCTGGACTTTTCTTTCCTGGTATAAATGATTATAGTAACATCCTGTGTTAGTGATGGAAACATTGTCCTCAACCACAAGCAGAGATTCTGTGTGCTCAGTTGTTTCTTCAGTGCCCAAGGCTGTAGAGAATGTCAGAATCAGAAGTTCTCAGGGGAGTACTAGTTTTTTTTTTGTGGAAGAACCTGCGATTGAACTCAGGCCCTTGTGCTTGCCAGGGAAGCGCTTATTCCACTGAGCCATCTCCCTGGCCCCGAGTACTAGGTTTTGAATTGTAGATTTTTTAATGCTCACGTGTTTTTAGACTATAGAAAATAGATTTAAAAATTAATTTATTGTTATTTTACTATTTTGAATTTTGTGATATTTAGGTAAGTAAAAGTTTGGCTCTTTTCCAAAATGTTACTCAGAGTGAGCCCAGCACTGATTATTTAGGGACAGAAGCAGGCTATTATAGAATATACTTTCTATAGCGCCTAGGTTCATATCAGGGTATTTGCTCTGAGAACCATGAGATTGTATCGAGCAATTGGGCATTTACATTCTGTGAGAGTTTAGTCACAGCTGGTAATATTCTTATTTTTGCTGCTCACCTCTGCATTTGTCTTTATGTCTCAGCATCGTGGACTTTGTCCCGTGTACCGGCTCACAGTCTTTGCACTTGGTGTCACCTCAGCCTCGCAACTGCATCACTTTTTACTCAGCGCTGGTCCTTGCTCTCTCCCACCCCCGTGGCCCTGCCCTCTCTACCTGGCTGGGCAGATTTTCTTAACAGACTCATGGCATTAAGCTGTTGGATTCTAGCATAAAGCAATCATTTTTAAAAAATTTATTTCTATTATTGTTGGATTAAATCTTGTTTCTTGCTTTCCCAAGGGCAGTAACTGCTTTTGTTTGCTGTAGAATTTGAAGCATCTAGTATATGCATATGTGTATTATGTAGTATTTGTGGAATGACAACACAGTTTTAAAATTTTTATTTACTCTGATTACTGATGTTAAGGTTACAGTAGTTCTCCTGCAGTGTATCTTGGATCATTTATTTCCCAAAGAATGTTTTAACAGACTCATTCAAAAAAATTAAAAAGCAAGACCTTTTTGGGATTTCATTGTGTATCACCCTGTGTCTAACTTCTTTGTTGTCTGTTAGATGAACTTCTACCTTTGAGATAACAGTCAGGATACCAGATTGATTGATTACACAGCTGCATTGAGCCAGATCTCCCTCACGGGCCTTTTTAGCATGGGGCATTGCTTTCTAGAGTTTACTGTAGGTGGCGTATTAATTTATTTGTACTATTTTTAGTTAGACACTGGCGAGTTTAACTCTTTCATTCTCGATCCAGGTAGAACTGGTCAAAAAACTAAATTTGTACTGGGAGACATTTTTAAATTTGACATAGGACTGCTGCTTTCTGTTTGTAGAAGCAAACGTGTTTTTAAGAAAATGCTGTTAAGCTGATTCTTCCTTTTGTGCAGTCTGTCATATTAACTGATAATTTTGCTCAACTCTTCTGCTGATATAAAGTCCTAGAACAACAAAAACATTTATCACTTAAATTACAAATAAAGATGTTCAAGTTGGTATTATTATCTGTGTTGTCCCTACTTCTATAAATATAGTGCAAAATGAATTTTTTATGTAGGTGAATTTTACATATAAAAGGCGAGGAATGAGATTATTGTTTTTGAAATCTTAGGTGGTATAAAACACCCCCCGCCTTATTTTTTTGAAGGATTCATCTGATGTTTTTAGAAATTGGGACTTGAACTAGAAAATGACCTGGAAGGTGAAATTAATTATATGCTTAACAATGAAATGTTAATTTCTTTTGATGCAAATTGAATTTAAGCTGGAGAAAAAGACCCCAAATTAGGCAAAATAAAACCTGGCAATGTGTAGGTAGAAAAACTACTTAAATTGAAAAGTAGACTTGTTAAAAAACATTGAATGGATACAAAAGAGTATAATACAATACGATGGCTTTTATTTATCATTTACAAACAAGCACAGCTTTGCCTTCCGTGGTTGAAGTCAGACAGGTTAGGCGTCTGGGTACCCTCAAGGTTGCATTCGTGCTCCAAGTGATAGCCCCTGCATATTCCCAGCACTCTGGGAGGTGGAGGCGGGAGGTTTTCAGGTTCGGTTCAGCCTGGGCAGTTCAGCTCTTTATGAAGAACCTGCTCCCTGAAGAAAATGTCTTGCTCAGATTTACACAGGTGTGTTCACTTCGGGAAATGTGGTCTGCTTTGGACTTCTCTAGGTATATTGTA